TAAAATTTTTCAGAGGATAATGAAATATAATGTATCTTTACCTCTTGATTGTTTCTTACAAGTTACAGCTAAAACATATGTATTAGAATGGACAATATGACAATATTCTTACTTCTGAAAACGGAACAAGACAGAACAGAGATGTTGTTAGGATTTGACAAAGGAAAAGTCAATGTTATGTGAAGTGTCATCTGGTTTAGCTTGATGATCATGTTGTTTTCTTGACTGAAACTCGATCTCTGATAACTTTGTATCAGAATGGTAAGAAATAGGTGAATTTGGAACACTCCCCATGTCAGCTTGGCCTTGGCTTGACCTGTGTATGTGGTGCTGTAGCAAATGTTGGGGAGAAGCAGCCGGGGTCGGTGTGTTCTCCCCACTCATGTAGCTATAGCTAGGAGAAGCATCTGGTTGCTATGTTTTCCTTTGCTTCTTCCTCTGCTTTTCAGCATTGTGCCATTTCTTCAGAGCATTTGCTGTTTGCTCCTCAAAGACTGCCTTCTTCATGTGAGATCCCATCTGCAGAATTGACATTGAGAAATGATCAAGAGAACTTGAATTTGATAAACTATAAATATGGAGGAAATCATCAAAGATGATAGAAAGAGGAATTATCACTTGTGTCACCAAGGCGTAGAGAGGAAAGGTTATGTAGTTACACAGGATTTGAAGGGCCACATTGACAACAACTTCTGTCACTGTAATCCACAACTTCTAATGGAGGCATGAATGAGTCCCCAATGAACTTTGCATATTTCCATACATTTAATAAAACCAGACCAGAGCTATCCGAAATAAAAAATATAATGGAAAAAGCTCAAAACTTTATCATCACCCACAAGAAATAAGCCATCTGGAATGCGTTCTGTGTATATAAAATTCAATTCAATCTTGAGTTGGATGCATTATTTATCAGGGAGCTATAAGTTACTAATTAATCTAATGGTACTACCTGAAATAAGGTGCAATGAATCAAAAGGAGAACCCATTGCGGTCGATTAAACCAAAAGTACTTATTGTTTGGTTCCACCACTAGAGCTCCTCTAACAAGTATACTTCGATCTTGGATTTCTTAAGCCATTGTCATGATGATAAACTCAAGCTTTGTATCCACCAATAGTAGTATCTGTTTAAATAACAATGACCAAGTTTTAGCTCTGCAGCTGAGAAATGGATGGCATAGAAGAGAGATAAAGAATCATATCTCCTACAGTCGGTGGCACAATAGACAACCAGGTTAGGGTGTGCCAGTCTGCAGTAATTCAGAACCTCATAATCACATCACTATGAACAGTAAAATGGTATGCATTGAATGGATCGAATTGAATAGATGAGAGAGGGATAGAAAGATTAACCACGAACATTTAGAAGTAAGAAGATGATAGCAATGATCCAAAGTGTGATGCTGCAAAATCAAAATTAAGTGTTAGTGCCGATCAAAACTATTCTCTTGAATTTCTTCTGCCAGTGAGAGATTGAGAAACAGAACTAATACCAACAACCACCTTGAAATCATCTTCCATCGACCTTTTGATGTACTTATGGAAGTCAAATTTGCCATCAGGTGCAAAATGTGCCTGCATTTTTACACGAGCTAGGTATGGCGTTCTTGTATGGTAAATCCCTTTGATGTTGAGAAAAATACTTACATTGATAAATCCGCGGCGCATGGTCATGTAGTCCACCTTGGCCACTAAACCAAAGAATTGCCTAAAGAAGGTCACCTAGACAATGATAAAAGTAACTTTAATAGGAAAAGGAAAAGGGAAAAAAAATTCCCACTAAGGGAAGTGGAGAATTGAATCAGAGAGAAGGTATCTTACAATCCATCTTATACGAGGAGTCCTTGGGAAACCTGAGTGACGCCTCACGAAGGAAGTTTGATGAGTAAACCTGGATCTTGAAGGATCTGGATATTTGGCACAAATTTTATTAGATGTTTCAACAGAATGTCGAAAAATAAAAGTTCCCAAACTTAGCAAGAATGTTGGAGATTGGGGGTTAGAAAATAAATCATTGGCTTCAAGGCGTATTGCAAATACCACTTTCCTTTAGGTTAATTTCACCTCCACCAAATTTGTTATGAAAAAAGGGTAACTTAAAATACCCATAGGATACAATGAAATGCCTTGTTGATCTTGCTTTTGTACTAGCAAGATTAACCACTGAACTATCTTTTGAAAAGCGACAAAACAATAGTTTTTATACATGGATTTCTACAGCAATCACAGTACGAAAATGGGTTGTTTTATTTAGACAAGAATTAGGTTTTGTTTCTGGGTTCAAGAGACCCTAGAAAAGAAGAGATAACTCCATATTTATAGGGGCAAGATGTCTGTTGGGAACAAACACTCCTTTTCAATTTTATCTGTTGGAAACTCTTCCAAAAATCATTTGGTTTGATTTGAATTTCAATTCACGTGTTTCCTTACCTTCCAAAGTTATTCACATTTCCTTTAGAAACTTATCAGAATTCTATCTCTTATTTTTGACATAAATGGTTCGAACTGAAATTGTAACTTTTCGGATTCTGATTTTACGTAAATAGTTCAAATCATAACTATATGATTTGAACCAAAATCATACTTTCTCAAATGCATTTTGTGCAATTGCTTCAAATTAACTTTCTATGATTCGAACTCATATCCTGGAACTATTTTGAAAATTCTTCAACATTCCCCCACCATTTTCAAAATAGAACAACCCACCAATTATTTTGGAAATCTTATGCATACATGGAAGTATCTTACGATTTGAACCTTTCAATTAGTGAACATGTGTTGGCAAGTTAGTCAAAATTAAATGGTAGATCAATGCTTTGAACCAATGATTCTAAATGACTAATTAGGCACATGTCACACACAAGACTTCAAGCTTTCAAAAGAAAGAATTCAACAACCACCAACACAGAAACTGGCCATGTGTGATGTATCCTTTTCATGAGTGTTGTTAGAGTCAAGTCCTCAACTCCTAGAAGCGGCACCACTTCCACTCATATAGGTAGATCCCATCAAAAGTGCCACCACATTAAGTACTTTAACAGAAATCTGTTATAGGACCTATTAAGAGTAAAACTCAACCTCTTCTTTATTTCATGTGGTTACCAAGTACTCTTCCACTTGGGATGGTATTATTTATAAATTGAGTACTTGCAATCACATTAATATGATGTACTTTACTCATTGAACTTAAGACTTGATGTTTTATCAAGCGTTAAGTCGAGGTTCCATTATGTGTGACTTTTGTTAATATGGACTTAAGACCCATCCCTATCTTTGTCTTGTAAATTTTCCTTTTTGATAATCCTTTTAATTAAGGATTCATGAAGTTAATTCACACAAGACCTTGCAATGATTATGGTGATGACCTCATTTAAGAATTGATTATTTCCATGGGCTATCACTTTTAAACGATGCCATATAACTTTGTAATATCATGAATAAGTGGAATCCTTGCTTTCTCCATTCTCAAATTTAATTTTTTATTTGCTTTCATGTGGCAAGGACTTTTAGTCCTTATTGCTCTCACTCTTGGGATTGTTCCCATGATTTTAAATATTGTTTTGTCAATTTATGATATCAATATTCTTCATGAGAGACATATTAGGACAATTTCTAATTTATCAAAAATGGTTCAATTCATATAAATATAGTTCGACCCAAGTTCCTGATACTTTTTGAGTTTTTTGTGTAATTGATTCAAATCATCTTTGAGTGATTTGAACCAAAATTCTGAAACAACTCAAATCATAAGATTTATTTTCCATGACCAAGAGCTATTAACTCTTGTTGTGTAAAGGATTCTTTAAATCCATATTTCTATATCTTTTGGACCATTTTTCCAAGCTTCCAAAAATGAATTAAGTGCACAAGGTTGCACTAGTTTCTATAGATTATCTCATTAAGAGATAGCATCTAAACAAGGATTCAAAATCCTTCAAGACTTATCGAAACTAAGAGCCTTTTCATTTGGCTGCTCTTCTCTTTTTTTATATTCAAACTAAGATCATCAATTGGATCTCCAAATAGGTTTGCCAAATCCCATATCAGTATATCTTTCTTTAACATGGCTAAATAACCATCATGAGACTTGATTCTCACTTGTTTCAATTTTCATATACTAATATATAATCTTCCAAGCATAAATAAGGGGCATCAAAAGTAACAAGTAGACGTATGCTTTTCATAAATGAAACATAATCAGATTTATTAGCCTCTTATATTTCCACAAGTCTCATGTCAAGATAAACAAAATAACAAACAAGAAGCATGTATATGTATAATACGAATAGAGCACAAATGATTCTAATTAAACTATCATATACATAAGCATGCTTATAACATAATCTTAGTAAGGAAAATCTCATTTGCTCTAATAAGTCTTGGGCAAACTTTAATAAGAATATGTCTTGAAGTAGGATATACTACACCGAGGCACAATCATGCACTCAAAACATGATCATATTCAAATTCATAAATATCTTCCTTCTCACATCCAAAAACCATGCTCTCAAGTTTGAGATTTATTTAATCCCTAAATGGGATTTAAAGACCCATTTTATTTCTCTTGCCTCATTGTGCCAAATGACTTTTAATTATGAATCTTTACACTGTCATTTGCATCTTTGGTAACTTCTTTGAAGCTATTCTCCAGGAGACGTTTTCTCCTCGTATATAATTAATTAAACATTAATAAGGGAACTATCACACATGCATGAACAGCCCATGATGTAAATGATGCATGTGCCAAAACTCAGAAAAATTCATGATTTAAGAAACTGTAAACCTAATTTTTTACTAATTTCAGAATGTATTATTTCATTCTATCATTTTGCCGGTTTTCATGCATGTTTTGATATTGCAGTGAATCTTGATTCATCTATGTTTCATATTCTCTTCAGACTTGGAAATTTCAATTGCTTCCTTCATGAATAGAATCATGTCTCCATTGTTTCATCTTTCATGAAAATTAATTTCCTTTGCTTTATTGTGAAACATCTAACAACCTTTCCATTACCAACATTTTGGTAATGAGAACTAGGCTGCATCATTTATCCTTTATAATGCTTTTGCGTCTGGTGATTTATTAACCCATCGTTGCCTCATCTATGATTGATCACACCATTTTGATGGTTGATGAGTCACCATTTTTGCACACGATTTAAAGCGCTAGAAATCCATTTTGTTTTGCCACTGTTGCACACTATATCTCCTTAGCTTCACATGCATTTTAACGCAAGTTTCATTTCAATTATCCAGTAAGTCGTGATCTCAAAAAACTCAAAATTAACCTAAAGATTGTTGGATATTGGGGGTTAGAAAATAGATCATTGGCTTCAAAGCGTGTTACAAATGCCACTTTTCTTTAGACTAATTTTGCCCCCACTAGATCTTGTATACAAAAGGGATAACTTGAAATGCCCATAGGATACAATGAAGCGCCTTGTTGATCTTGCTAGTGCAAAGGCAAGATCAACCATTGAACTATCCTTTGGAAAGCGACAAAACAATAGTTTTTGTACAGGGATTTTTGCAGCTATTACAGTACAAAAAGGGGCTGTTTTATTTAGACAATAATGAAGAGTTGTTTCTAGGTTCAAGAGACCCTAAAGAAGAAACGATAACTCCATATTTATAGGGGTAAGATGTTTGTTGGGAACAAACACTCCTTTTCAATTTTATCTGTTAGAAAGTCTTTCAAAAGTCATTTGGTTTTGATTTGAATTCCAACTCATGTGTTTCCTTGCCTTCCAAAGTTATCCACTCTTCTTTTAGATACTTATCAGAATTTTATTTCTTATTTCTGACGTAAATTGGTTCGAACCATATAAATATGGTTCGAACCAAAATCGTAACTTTCCATATTTTGATTTTACGTAAACAGTATGATTTGAACCAAAATCGTAATGCATTATGTGCAATTGCTTCGAATCAACTTTTTGTGATTCGAATCCAGATCTTGGAACTATTTTGAAAATTCTTGAACAAAGAAGCAGAGAATCACCGGTACACAACTGATACTCCAATGGTCTTATTTCCAATTCCCAAG